CAGTTCTGTTCATAGGAAATGAATTATTCAGCTATCCCTTCAGAGTAATTTGATGCACTTTGTGCACATCCATGTACAATACAGCTGACTGGCTTACCTTTACAATTCTCCTGAAGAAGAGACCATACCAGCTGGTATGAGGAAGTCTAGGAGGTCATCATTTCCTGTACTGTTCCCCTACTCCTCCTTTATTTCCAAAAGCACTGGGAAAAAAAATCCCTAGCACACAATAAAGGACTGCAGATTTAAGAGAACCTTGGCCACCTAGTCTGTATCTGCCCTATCTTCTGGGGCATTGGGGGAGAATTGAACAATGAAAGATGCAATGTTTCCATAGCAACCCCATTTCCATAGGGTCTCTCTAGTACATTATTTAAATCTTGGGAGAAAGAAGGTAACTGAAAATTCTAAGCAGCAGTTCAGATGATATGGTTGGCCAGGGAGATTTAATTTAACAACAGCAACAGCAACAAATTCCTGAATGTCCTTTTGGTGTAATTTAAAATCAGGGATTAAAATGACTCATTCATCTGGCAAATTTTAGATATTCAACCATCACTCCCTCCCATAAATATCATATAGTAGCTTCTATTTATTTAATAATTAATATAAACTAAGGTTCTCTGATCATTCCTGCATGGCTTTAATTCTCCCTAGTATCATTATCTGGTAGGCTTTTTTTGTGTGGCATTTTGTGTTGGAGTTTTGGAAGAGTGATTATTTTTTTAGCTCTATTACACTATTATTCATTCATTGGGTTCTTAGTATTCTCTGAGCTTGTATGTTTTCCTGAAAACATTTTATTGCCAGGCCAAGTAATATCAACATAAGGGTTTGTTGATGGTTTATATATAGCAGCTTGCCCTGCATAATCTTGGTTTCTTCCCTGATTAGAGTATTGTTTGTTCCCTGATTCAGCATTTCCTCAATACTGTGGACATTGTATACTTGGAGTTCAGTAAAGCATTTGACAAAATAGACCACAGTTACTTTTTGGTGAAGTAGAAAAATGTGGGATAGACAGCATCACCACTAGATGGATTTGTAACTGACTGATCAACTGTATTAGACATGTCGTCTTCAGTGGAGCAGAGATGGGGGAAGCATGCAGTCAGGCTCTCCAATGTTATTTCTTAGGCCCAGTACTCTTCAATGTTTTCATAAACAATTTAGCTATGGGGAGAGAAAGGATACTTATCAAACTTGCAGACAACATCAAGTTGGGGGGAATAGCCAACACTTTGAAAAATAGTCTCAAGATCCAGAATACTGGGCTGTATCCAATAAAACACAATTCAGTCTTGAGAAGAGTAAGGTTTTACACTGAGGCAGAAAAAAACCTCAGATGCACAGGTATAGAATAGTAGTACCTGGCTCAACAGCAGTAGCTGTGAAGGATCTAGGAGTTTTAGTGAACAACTACTGAAGTGTGAACTAGCAGTGTGCTATAGCTGCCAAAAAAAGATGATGCAGTTCTAGACTGCATCAACAGAGGGATAGTAGTACTACTTTAAATTGCACTAATAAGACCACACTTGAAATAGTGCATTCAGTGTTGGTCACCAGGATACATAAAAACATTGTTGAAACTTCTAGAAAGAGTGCAGAGAACAGCTCAAAGATGATTAGAGAATTGGAGGATAAAACACATGATGAACAGTTGCAGGAACTGGGTATATCTAGTCTAAATAAGAGAAGGATTAGGGATGACTTGATAGCAGTTCTCCAATATTTGAGGGGCTGTCACAGAGAGGAGGGTGTCAACATATTCTCCAAAGAACCTGAGGACAGGACAAGAAGTGATATTTGGAAACAAATAGAGTAAATAGACATCTAACCCAGAACTTCCTGACAGTGAGAACAATTAATCAGTGGAATGGCTTACTTTCAGAAGTTGTGGATGCACCATCACTAGAAGAAGCTTCTTGGATGAAAAGCAAAACCAGAAAGTCCATTGCCTCTTGAAAGAAACCATCACTGAAAGTTTTTATGAAGAGATTAAACAGCCATCTGTCCAGAATGATATGGGGTCTCCTTCTTGAGAAGGTGGTTGGACTAGAAGATTTCCAAGGTCTCTTTCAGCTGTTATACTGTTAGTATTATTTATTTGGTATTGTTACTGATTATCTGGACAATAGCTACAAGTGAGGGTGTGCTCAAGGTAGCTTACTTTTTACCTTGACTTTTGATTGTATCTTAAATTGGTATATAGACAAGGCATCTATATAGACATCTATGTCTCTATAAATGACTGATTTGTCAAAATATCTAGCTTTCAGGATTTCCTAGGATTTTTCTATTTGGTTTGGTTGACATTACAGCCCTTTAAGGGTCAGAACCATGATTTTCCTAGTAGAAACACATGGCTGTAAGTACCGGGCTATCAGCAAGGCTGAACAAAGAATTGATGCCATTGAATTATGGTGGTGAACAAAATTATTGAGAATATTTTGACCCCAAGAAGAATAAATTATTCACTGGTTGATGAAGTAAAAAGCAGTCTGCTCAATGAAATCACCAGCAGTGAAGCTAAAGTTTAAACTTTTTGAACACATAATATGAAGGTTAAAAACCATTTTAAAAGACAGCAGTATTTGAAAATTAAACAAAAATAGTCTAACAGAAGACAAGGAGGCTAGATATTATCACTGATGAAAGAAGCAAACTTATAAGAACTTAGAGGAACAATTGATGACAGATATCATGGTGAAATAATGTCCATCAGGTCAGAAACAAATCAATGACTGAATACCAAAAAAAACCCAAGACTGTTACACTAGCTACTCTTTGTCTCCTTTCCAACTTTGGACAGCTTACATATAACAGTTTGAGACCACATTTCAGCCTTGCTTTCCTTGCTGTAATGAATGATATTAATGAAGATGTAGATGTAGGCTTTAATTCTGAATTATAACCTTCACTAATGTTTAAATTCCATCCATGTGAAAGGAGAAAAGGCAACAAAATGGTAAAAATATGATGATGAGTAACAGCATAAAAAGTGTATCTGTGTTTATATTTTAAAATTAGATGTATTTGAGAGGTCAAGTCTTCTCTTCATTTTAATTATTCTGCTGTGAAAACAATGTGTATTGCAGAGATTTTTGTCTGACCTAATGTATTTGGTGACATTCAAAATGCCATCAAATAACAAAAAATAATAATTACTTTCAAGTGTTTTTCCAGGTATTCCAATACTTATATGTTAATAAGCATGAACAATTCTTAATTAATGACTGTCACATTATAATTTTCTTTTAGTAAATCTCCATTCCTGGAAGGTTCAAGAAAAAGCTGAACAATTAATACCAACTTTAACTGGATGAAAGTTTTAGCATCATAGATAAAAGAATGTTCCTATCTACTTCTGGATACTGCACATACTTATTCAGATTTTTAATATCATACAAAAAAAAAAACAACCCCAGGGTCTTCCATATTGATTTTTAAATTCTATCACATCTTACCTGTAACTTTTGCTTTTCAAGTTTTATCACTCTCAGCTATTGTTTACTAATGCTATTCTTTCTTATTGGGACCTGCACTTTGAAACACTTCTATGAATCCATCCAGAGGTGGTATTCAGTAGGTTCTGACCAGTTCTGGAGAATCTGTAGCGGAAATTTTGAGTAATTTGGAGAATCGGTAAATACCACCTCTGACTGGAGATTTTACAGTATCCTTCCCCTGCCATGCCCACCAAGCCACGCCCACAGAACCGGTAGTAAAAAATTTTGAATCCTACCACTGAATCCATCTCTCTTCAAATTTCTCCCCAAACTCCTCTTTCCTGTGAAACACTTAGATACTTTCTGTGATACTTTCTAAATCAATTTAGCTTAATGGTAGTTCTGACCTTGGCTTCATTTGTTAAGCACAACATCGGTAGAGAACTTGAATTTAGCATTGTAAAAATGCAGCAAACCATTCATTTACTATTAAAGATCCAATAAATTTAGTGTGGCATAAATTCATTAAATTACTCAAAAGCATGACTTAAATCTGGGTCCATCCAACTGCTTTTAAATATTGGGAAAGAAGTGGGGAGGGGATCTGCTGAAGATGGGAAAATAATGGGTTTATTATTGGGAATGATACTGCACACTAATTAGGACAGGAAGACACCATTTGCTACTTACCTCAGGCAGACAGAATGCCCTGATGAGAGATTCTATTGAAATGCAAATTCAGCTTTTGAAGTATTTTTTATTGGACTTCTTCAGGAAGAGGAATAATCAAATTCTAGCCACCATTTCACTTATTTCCAAGGCTACTCTAGTTATGTCAACAGCAACCAAGGAAAGCCTGAAGCATTGTTACCCATGCTTGCATTTGCATACCAGAAATGTCCCTATTCTTGATTTTTTTGGGATGTGTGTGTGTGTCTGCTGTTTATCTTGTCTCTGCCTGTAGACTGTAAATAGATTTGGAGGGGGAAAAGTCCTCTTTTTCTTTGCCACATATATAAATGACATGGTACATATCCCTGTATACATTAACAAAACATTTAAAAACAGAGGTAGCCATCTGCTGATTGTACAGGATACAAATTAATAGGTAAATAATATCATAGTTTTTCATAGCTTTCCAAGGTTATCCGATAGCCACAATTGAATGGACAATATTGGGTCCAACACAACTGAGGCTTGTATTCTTAAAGTCTTTAATGAAATTACACATTGTATCTGATAAATTTGGTCAGATATTAAGTAGTGAAAAATAAAATTAATCCTTCGTGCATGGCCAGAAATAGAAGCTGAAAAAATGATCTGACAAGCCAATCATTATCATGGCTCAATGACTATTTGCCATTTTGACTAGCCTATTTCAACAATATTCATTTAGTAAAACAGTATCAATAAACAAGACTTGTGCTTAATCACATGAATGGATTCAATTCATGATGTGTGCGTGTTTGGGATGTTAAAACAGAATATTTTTTTTCTAGGTCTGAGACCAGGTTACTGAACATGACAGGATCACCATTTCCACCTTGTTATCTACATGTGAAGTTGGTGCCACATAGCAATCTGCCTCCTGGGGTTCCTCAGCATCTCCTCCCAGTGGTTCCTCTCAGTTCCCACAGCATGCAGACCAAGGCTACACTTGCCCAGTAAGCGGTTCTGCCCATCAGCATCCTGGCTTAGCATCTCCAGCTCCACACTTGAAGCACAGAGCAGATCATGGGGCACCTCAAACATGATCATCTCATTCCATACTGGGTTGATCTTGTGTTTTGCATGCTTTGTCTGCTTCTTTTTCAGTTTCAAGTCCTGGTGCTTCAGTGTCACTTTGACAGATATATCTGCAGGGACAGGGATAAGATTTGGTAATATGAAAGCAGTCTTCAGATGTCAGCATTTTTATCTTCCCCCTGACTACAAATACCTTGAAAATTTGTTGAAAATGTCAACCATCACCAAGGACCATGGGAAGAAGACTAAGAAGTTAATGAGAGACCTGAATTTAGCTTCTTCCCACGTCTAATCTCCTCACAGGTGGTGAACTCACAGACCACAGATAGCTACCACAGAGTCACAGGTGTTCAGCTGCATATTGTGAAAATTGATAGCATAGTTTCCTGTTAAAATTTGACAGTGCCATTATATAGCCTGAAGTGCTTTCTTTTTGAGACACTACTTATATAAAATGCCTTTTCATTGTTATTTGTTTATTATTTATCATATTTACTCACCCACCCACCCCAAAAAACAGGCCAACCTAAATTCTCCAAAACTCAAGCTGAGGCAGAAAAAAAGAAAATGCATTTTTGCTTTTTAACCACTTAGCAATCCATAAAAGGATCAGTCCCCTTATTGCACATCTATTAAATATACTCTAGAGCTTCTGATATAGAATTTAGTCAAATGCTTGTTGTAAATTTACATATATAGTATCAATAGGATCATATCTGCTGATACTCTCAAAATCCAGAATGTTGGTAAAGCAGATTTATCTTTGTTGAATGCTAGTTCATATTCCTTCCTCAAAGCTGCTCTTTTTCAATTATTGATTCTACTAATTCTACATTTGTCACCTTTAAGAATTCTTGAATGGACCCCATCAGAGACTTTACACATAATTTCTATGTAAGCTTTGAATTATTTACATAACACCATGAAAAAATACATTAAGTGTATACATGCAATCCACACATAACCACACATCCAAACATAATATTTTATTATATACTACAGTATTTATTTCTGATCCATTCAATTTTGTGGCTCATGTTAATCATGTCACCCAAATCTGTACAGACCAACAGTGATTAAGTGCACTAATCTGTTGGATACTTTTAAAGGCATTAATTATTCTTAACATTTAGCTGAAAGAAGAATAGGCAGCCATATTTGCCCTGAAGGCTGAATATGGCAATTGATAAGCGGTCTAGGATGATTATCTCATGGGCCAACAGTAAGAGTGGATTGATTCTGAGCCAGCAGCACCATGTTTCCTATAAACATACACAAATACTTAAACATAATCACTTGTGCTATTTACACATATATTCTATCCTCTTCAGTTATGTAAGCTTCAAAACACATAGGCAATAGGGGTCCTTTATCCAATCCTTCCTCATGGTAGTCTCATGTTTATTTGAATGTGAGTATATCTTTCTACCTGATGTGGGAAGTTAATATTGTAAATCAGACTGTTCAACTGAAGGTAGTTTATTTATTTATTTATTGGATTTATATTGCCTCCTATTCGCCCACGGCGACTCAAGGAGGCTTACAAGGTATAAAACCACATTTAAAACAGTAAAACAAGTAAGAAGAATAAAAAAAAATATAATAAATTAATATAATATACTATATACGATAGTATATAATTCAATTCTCCTTCAGAAAATAGTTTAAAATATGGCCCTGAGACACACTCTCACTGTCTCTCCCCCTCCCCCCATCTCCCTCCCCCCTTTCTCTCCATGCACACCCATACATACATATAGTTTTTAAAATACTAAAAGGAAAAATTATTCAATATCAGTGAACAAATCATACTGAGAATAACTTAAAGACTTTAATTTAAATCTGTATAAGTTTGCTCATAGATCAACCAGGTGAGATGGCTCTCAAATTTAGTTGAGAGACAGATAGGCCCAAAATTACACTGTGAGTATTGGGGTCAAGTGGGGGCTTCAGTCTGGGTTTCCTTGGTTTTATTCCAACATCTAAACATTGTAATTCATGGTTCTTTATTTCTCAAGTGTGACAGAAAGAAACCAACAGCTGTTTGGCTGAAGAAATGCCTGGATAGGTGACATGAAGAGATTATCCCTCTCCTCTTTCAATCACCTTCCTCATCTCATTTAGTCTTCCTCCATCTGTCATTCATCTTCCATAAGCAAGGCCAGCTTCAGAAACATCCAAGACCTGAAAAACTGGTTTCACAGAGGGAGTGCATTTTCATTCAAAACAGGCTGTGTTGCCAGCATTGGATGAGTTTGTTCCCAATCATATCACCTCTACTCTGGACTGAATCACAAATTCTAGGTCCAATTCTTTACTGCAATGTCCAGGCAATGATTCAGGACAGCATCTGCACAATCTTGGGAAACTTGGCTAGTTAAAACAATATTATTGCTTCAAAGTGACAGATGGAAACTGAAGCTCAAATACAGTTCAACTATTGAATCTTAGCAGAAGTATCATTCATACACAATATATATGTGATTATACACACACACACATACACACACACACACACACACTGTAAACAGGTGCCCAGCTGCCCATCTCACATATGTGACTAAATTGGCATGAAAAAACCCTAAAAGAAATATTTCAGTTCATAGCATTTGTCAGCAGGCTTTTATTTTTCCCATACCTTTTCCAATGAGTTCTTTCAGCTGTTTGGAATGGAGGTTCTTGGCTTTTATAAGTACCACAAGCAGGCGATTTGCTGCAGGCAAATAGCTGATAGAAAGCAGAACTTCTCCATAGCCCGAGTCTGGTTCCTGCAGTTCAAGGAGGGGAAAAAAGGAATGCCCAATATATATTTTTTATCATCAAGAAGATGACTGACAGACACAGAATGAGATATGTGGAAAAGATAAAGATCTGTACAGTAGAATATAAAAGGTGAACACACCTCACAAAACACAGCTTTGTTTTGTATCAAGATATAAAGATTAATGCACATTTCATCTTTCTTCCAGTGTTGGCTTCTGTTTTTTGTTTACATTAGCCTGTGGTGAGATTTAAACAAGGTATTTGCAGAACTAAAATAAATGCAGAGATAATAGTGGTTGGAAAGCATGCTACAAAGCTACAAACTCTGGGTTATCTTTCAGTAGCATCTTCAACTTGGTATTTTAAAGATATGAAAGCCATGAATGTGCAGCTACCTAGTAACTCTGGATGCGGGTTTCCTAGCAACCAGGTGGAACAGGGAGCTTTCCTTCAGAAATTCATAGAGCATAAAAAAGGGGACATTTCTGATGTACTTATTGGCGGTATTTCTCTGGTCTGCTTTTTTATTAGGCAAAGTCATGAAGTGTCATCCTACAATTGTATTCAATCTACTGATTAAAGTTTTGATATGAAATTTTGTGAGAATATCAGAGTAGTCCAGAGAGAAATATTGTCCTTTGCTGTCTTGCTTATTATGTTACATTGGTATATTGTATAATAATTTTGATGCCAGCATGAAAGAAAAAGAGTGCCTACAGAGTCTGTTTATCCTAGCACAAACGGCGATTGAAAGGCTTTCTGACGGTGAAAAGTTCTCTATCTGACGGTGAATTCTAGTGTCCAGTCCAAACTTATTTTAATGAGAAATACCAGGAAGAGATGAAACACAAACAGCTGGTCTTGAGTAGTAGATTGAACAGGCATTGAATGATCTACTGTTCATGCTCTTCAGCACGGTAATTTTTAAATCCAAACTATGTTATTTCTAAATTTCAATCTACATGTCTTCTACTATTCATTGTTTTTAGAGATCATTGTCTTCTATTGATGATACGTTTCATCATTTTTGGAAATGTATGAGTTTCACTCCTTGGTTACAGTGATAGCAATTTGCAGCTGTAATGGAGGGTAATATTTTCCAGTACTGAGAAGAAGAAACAGCATTTCTCACATAAAGCATCTTGATTATGTCATGTTTGTGTGATAAACATCTACACTGATTTAAAGCAAGGGGAGAGAATTTCAAGCCCAGTCTGGCCAGAAGAGTCTCATATAAACCTCTTTCCCTGCCTCATCTTCCTCAGCAGCAAAAATCAAGCTTTCAATCTTTCACATAGATGACTCACAAGTACCCTCTGATTCATTTGTTCCATCTCTTATTTCTTCAGGAGAGGCAAGGTGGATGGTCAAAGTACACTCCTGTCATTCTACACTTCAGAGGAAATGTTGAGCTGACAATGCATGGGGGGAGAGGCTCCATACAGAATATAATAGGGAGTGATGACTGTCAACCTCATTTATGGTAGAGTCCTTTGGGGTGGGGATTTGGCTGCCAAGGCTTCAAAATTTGACATCATCTCAAAACCTGAAATCAAGTGAAATGAAGTACTGGATCCAGTTTCCCAGATTAGATTGAGTTCCTCCAATTCATAGTTAGTTGTACAAATAAAATCATCTAAATTAAGTTTCATTGATTGGGAATCAAATTTTGTAAGCAAATATGAATGTATATGTTTGTGTGTATGGAGGGGCTTTTTACTTGTACATCTCTTTGGCCCTCTTCAGAGAAGCCCTTGCAAAAAATGGGAACCATGGGTGAAAGCACTAAATTTACTCTCAGAATATTGCAATAGACTGTGCCACCTGCAACCATCACACATAGCTGAAGACAAACATAATCCATCCAAACAGGTGAATTAGTGTAACAAATAAGTATAATGCCAATACATGAATAATGTTATGATTATAATTTTAACACAATATATTAGGGGTAACAAATATGAATAAAATAATAACATTAGAACATACATTAACATTGCATACTTCTAACTTTTGGCTTATATATTAACGAGTGAAGCAAATCCAGATTGAAATATTGGCAAACTTAGTAAAGAATAAAGGGATATCTGGGAAAAAGTATGATGTTGGAGTGAATTATCATATTTAGTACATAATTCATCAACTCTTTTAGATTTAGCAATTCTTATAAATGTAATCTTACTCAAGTTCTTTGCTATAGGTAATTCTTGGCAATCTCTGATACGTTTTTTCTTGAACTTTCTGGATGGCTACAGAATACAAGTGATTATTCTAAATTTCTCTTTTGTTTCCTAATGATTGACATGGCAGCCTTTTTACTACCTGCATGTTATTTTGTTCATTCATTTGTTCGTTCATTCATTCATCCATTCATGCATTCATTCATCTTTCTTTTTGCACAAACCCTTGAAGGAAAATCAATCCCACTAACAATAAAAAAACATTTTCCTACAATCCATCCAAAATTTGTATTCAGCAGGTTAAAATTTATTTATTGGTTGGTCTCAAAGTCACAAATTAATTTAATAAAGACTCATGTAGTGGAAGGCAAGGGGTGGATAGAAGAATAAATCTATAAGAGAGAAAAGGAAAAGAAAAGAAAAAGGAAACTGGAAATAAATATTCACTGTATTAATTCTATATTAAAAATGGGGACAGGTTACAAAAAATACGTTCCAAGCATCATACACAATTAGCCTTGGGACTCCCACTCCCCTATGTACTAGCAGCAAAGTTATTTTCAGAGTACCAATTATGATGTAATCAAAATACACAAGAGAAAATTTTACTTCATACTTTCAGAAATCCCCAAAGTATATGTAAGTGTATAAATTATTTAAGAGTAAATCTGATGTCCTATAAGAGAAGACTGTCACAGTACATAAAATATCTTGCATAAAAAATAAAAACCGGCAAGTCAACAAGAAAAGGCTATTTAGGGAGATATAAATTTTTTTTTTTTTCTGGCCAGATGACCCAGATTATTATAGACATGGTTTCCCCTCTCTGAGGGTAGATGCATTTTTGAAAGTCTTTTTTGCCTGGAAGAGCTTCTATGACATTTTTTAAAACTCATTTTTTTCCGGAGAATTTAGATTGAAGGATAAAGAACAATATATTCAGCTCAAGCTATGTATACCACTGAAACATCCTTCTCTTGACTTGTATAAATCTCCTCAAAATACAGAAAATCAGACTATAAACAATGTATTCTATTGCTTTAATCCAAAAAGGATCATTTTTAAATTTTTGAAATCTATTATTTTAATTTAGTTTTATTTTGGGAATATGGTAAAATTCTTTCAAGACAGTTCTCATGCAGAAATATATTATTTTGGGGTTTTTTTCCTCCCTAAAAAAGGCCTGTTTGGCTGAGTTTTTTTAATGCTGAAAAATGAAAAGTGGCTGCCATTGTAAAACAAAATGTTTTATTTGCCATTCACTGAAGTTTGATACTACAATGGGCATTAATAGAATATTAACTGAAGATATACTACATCAGTAGCCTGTGGCCTGTTAGAAATTGGGTTGCACAGCTGGAGGTGAGCAGCAGGCAATGGAGTGAAATGGAAACCACCAACCCCTATCCGTGGAAAAATTGACTTCCATGAAAACGGTTCCTGCTGCACTACATAGAATGGCTTGATTATTGTTCCAACAACTCATTTTATTTATAGATAATAGTGAGAAATAATCTGTAGTCCAATTAATGGAAATATGAGAAATGGTACACTTAAATCCTATCAAAACATACAAAACATAAAGTGCATGCAGAAAGGATTCACATAGTAATGGTGAATTCATGTCATGATATTGTCAATGATAGGACCTTGATAGAGTCACTGAATAACTCATATGACCTAATTAGGCTTTAGGGTTATACTCAGTTGAACAAGTTGCAGCATGATCAGATAAGAATTGCTATTGTATACTAGGAAAAGCAATAAAAGTTGATTGCCCTTTGCCTACATGAAATTTCAATACTACCTGTAGTTTAAGTTGAGTGGTTATTTATCTCACACCTCCTATTCTTTAATAGACATTTTGCTCTGCTGTTCTTGGCCTTGGGAACTTGAGACCTTGAGAAACTTTGGCTCTTGAGTTAAATCCCACATTCTAATATTCATTTGAATATTTTGTCCAATTGACAAAATATTTCCAACTGATTTGTCCAATGATCATATAATGTATGAGCAGGGGAGGGGAAAAATATACGACTCACTATAATACAGACTTTAGCTTCAATTCATCAGTGTTAACCTAAGGAATGCACTGAATGTTTGTAAAGCTAAGCTAAGCTATTTTAAGATAAATTAAGATATTAATTTAGCTAAGTTAAATGATCAGTTTGACTCAATTTGACTAGTTAAATTGATTGAATATTAAGCATTTATCTGATTGGGAAATATATGTTTCTGAATACAGAAAGGTCAAATCAGTTCAAAGGCACCCAATTTGTATGCATCAATTTGATTCAGCAATTAGAAGGGGATTTGGCTGAATCATTTTCCGATCAAAGCTTGAAACTGACATTATCATACAACCTTAGTTTTCAACAAACCTAATAAGCTCATCTTGGAAATACAGTACCAAAAATATTGCTTTGTTTCCTCAGTGCTCCTTTTTTAAAAATCTCTTTTCTGCCTCGCATCTGATTAATGATTCAACACTCCTGTCTGGGTTCACAATGTAATAGCTGCCTCTCTGAGGTCCCCTGTGAGATCCCCTTTCTTTCCATATGTTAAATTGCAAAATGAGGACACAATTCCGAGCATGTTCGTCTGCTCTTTTCAGGTTGGGGTACAGCATTTCTACCTTATTACAGCCTCAGAGGGTGTTGGAAGAAGGCCAATCAATGAGAAATATGACTGTCAGTTGCTAAATATAACTGGGTAGTATATCTTGCACTTATTATGAACAAACAGTTGATTGGCATTCTTGGCATTGTATGTTCCTGGAGACCATCTGTAAACTGAGGCCATCTGTTTGAGAGATATAATTAGCCACCTGCTAGGATTCTAGCAATTTTTCTAGAATAGTAAGACTAGTAGCGACATCTCAACTTTAGTATCTCCATGCCTCTGCTGAAAAGCCATAGTGCTTGCTCTCTGGAATGAAAACCAGAAGGTCCCCACCCTGTTGGTTTTCTGGATAGCTATAAAGATCTAGTTGTTCTCCTTGGGCTAAGGTGGTTGATTTTGTTTTCTTGGATATCAGTTGGTAGTGGCAAGTTTTGGAGTTTGGCGAGTTCATTATATTTGCGTGAGTAACCAGTTCAAAGGACAATGTAACTCTGTGTGTGTGTGTGTGTGTGTGTGTGTGTGAGAGAGAGAGAGAGAGAGAGAGAGAGAGAGAGATCCGTTAATGCATTCCAAGACTCTATTATAGTTAACCTAATTGTTTTTCTCCAAATGATGGCCTTCTAGGATTTTTAGAAACTTCTTCCACAATGCTCACACACCAAGATAGATTCCCCCAGTATTTCTACAATTTATTTTTCTTGCTTAGTTGCTGAACATTACATATCTCTTCACTGAACATTATTCTTTTGAACTTGGCTTAATCCTAGCAGCGTAACTTTAAATCTTGATGCTAATAATATGGTTCTCAACTAATGTGTCATAGGTTTTTTTCCTTATGTTATTTTTTTTTTTGTATTAGGTATATTCTATATAATATGTATATTCAATACAGTGCAGAGATCTTAAATATTTAATAGCTTCCCCTCAAACCATGACTTACACATTTAAAAATAAGTATGTAACATTAATAATTTTTAGTGTGCTACAGAATTGCCACTATATTCAATATTGTGCATCTAATTAAAAAGGTTGAGAGCTACCACTTTGATTATTAGCTGATTTACTTAGTATCAGGAATTAGTATCACAATATCAGCCTTTCTATCCCTTCCATTTCATCTATATATCATTCATAAAGATATTGAGTATTGGGCCCAGAATGGAACCCATCGGGATCACATTCAATATTTCTCTATACGCTCATGGTGAAACATTCAAAGTATCTAACAATGTTGTCATTGTGACCATGGGATAAAGTGAATTAAGACTCAGAAGTTTAGGAACACTCACTTGCAGCATTCTGTACCCCAACAGGAGAATATAATATACCATAATACAATAAAAATGAATCGATAGAATACCTTGTCAAGGACTTTCACTTTCTCAGACTGTACTGGTCCATATTGCTCCCGTACAGAAGCCAGATTTGGTTTAATTTCACCAACAATGCTGTGTCTAGAGAACTTGTCACAGTTCCTCAAGGTGAGGGTTAATGTCCCCTCCGGCAGCATTTTCTCCTTAACCGGAAACAGTAGAGCTTCTTCCCAGACAACATGGACTTGCTTCTTCTTCATCACTGTCTGGGCTTCTATAGTTCCAGAGTTGCTCACCAAAGTGCCTAAGATGTAGCAATCACTTCCATTGTTTTGGTCTCCTGATGTGGTTCCATATAAAACTGGTAGGGGCAGAATGAAGGGGGAAATGCAATTATCACTAAAATCATTGCATCATTGTATTAAAATCCTGTGTTAAAATATTTTCAAGAGACCACTACCATTTGATTTGTTTTGATTTAGAGCAAAGTCAAGGTTTTGATGTAATGCAAAAAAGCAAACTTCTATTTCTGAAAGCTTAATGGGACATGGCTCAAACCACAGATTTCCGTCACCTGTCATCCTGATTATATATAGATGATATATTTGCTGTTGTGATAAAAGAGTTGAATCCTGACACAAATGAATGGCAGAAGAAAACGTATCTGTTTTCCTTTAATTGTATTTAATGCCATTCAGATCTTGGTTTTATGGTGATTTAGAAATATTTCAAGAGAAAGGAAATGAGAAAATAACAATGGAGTCTGGTGAACTCTGTAATGTTTGACTTTTGAATTAAAATCATATATGCCCACATTAGGTGTCTTGAACCTGTTAATTGTCACAGAGGGGAGGAGTGTTGGTATTGAGGGGGACATCCAGAGGTCTCTAAATGATAATTCTTATGCTCCTAGCCAGCATGGCCAAGAGTAAAGTATGTTAGAGTGTATAATAGTTTAGCAATACCTAGAGGCCCACAGAAATACCATTTTTTTAAAAAGATCGAGTGACAAACATTCTTCTGCATTACCCTCCATTATATCTTAATTCAACCAGCTTAGTAAAGCTTTTCAAAAGTTAGCTGTATGAAAAGAGAGAGGAAAGGCAAGGAACTAATAAATGGAGATTGGGTTATTACTAGGATAAATTAAACTATCATTTATTGGATAAAGATAATTATTCCTTTATTGGACCTTTATGTGACCTAGTCAATTACTTATTCTTTTCTGTTTTCTTTTCCATATGCAAAAATAGTTTAATTTTGTGTTTAGAATAAAGCAAACTGATGAGAAATGTGAGACATTAAAGTTTAGTAAGAATTTGATTGGCTACTCCTAGCTATGAGGATGCAAATCATTGCTTGGAAAGTAAATTATGTGATTTTTAAATAGCCTTTAATATGCTTTTTCCTTGTTTTTTTATATTTATACCTTTAAATCCATCCCTGAATCCTGATGATTGTATGGATAAGTCCCTGGCATTTTCTAAGCAACATTTTTCAGAACATTTTTGCCCCACCCTTCTTCCTGAGGATGAGAGAGAAGACTAGCCCAAGGTCACCCAACTGGATTTGTACCTGAGGCAGGACTTGAAATCACAGTCACCCAGTTTCTAGCCTGATGCCTTTATCTACTATACCAAATTGATTCTCTATATAAATGTCTTCTCTTAAAGTCTTATTTGTCTGGAATAATCCTATGTCAGCCTTTTTTTTTCTCAAAGAGATTTGGATGGCCACCATTCTGATGTTGTTAAGAAGAGCCATGAAGACCTAGCTCTTCACCCAGGATGTTGATGAGAGAAAATGATGCTTCTTGTTTTATTGCATTAGCCATCATTTATTTTTATTTTAACATTTTATTGAATGCATTGTAATTTCTTTGATTGTTTTGAGTTGTCTAGAGACATTAAGAATCAGGTGACATATAAGTTTAATAAATTATAATGATCAGTACTATCATTCTCAACCACCAACTAGCAAAACTAGAGGTCTTTACCTTCAAGAAAAGCAACGGAGAGAGCTTCTTTCTGTCGGTTGTAGCCCAGACAATAATGAAGTTCTGGGACTTGGTTGCAGCCTGCAGCATTTTCAGGACTGAGGCGCTCAGTGACACAAACATCCTTCACACCACCTAAAAGTTAAAAGAATGTTAATTAGAAATTGTGTTCTATTCCAGCTAAGATTATTATTGGTGAATGTTGTTGTATTTTCCCATCTGAAAAATACAAAAAAAAATGTAGTCTGGTCTGATATAAAATGAATGGATGACCTTTTGGAAGGAGACTTCTGGTAATATCTAGAAGCTACAAGTCATGGAAATAGAGTCCAGACAAAGAAATAGATATAATTAAGGTCAGATCTAAATTTAATTTGATCAAAATTAAACTTAAATTAGAATTAATATGAAAAAATATCCCTGGGTGTAGTCATTTTCCTCCTTTATCATATCAAAATAAATTTTTGGCTACTTTTGGAGCCATATCAAAGTTTTTGTTGAAGAAAGCTGCAAATGTCTGATGGACTCACTTATCCCTCTTCAATATAAAATTACCTATCCTATTTGTAGGATAGGCGCAGTGGTGGCACAGTGATTAGAATGCAGTACTGCAGGCAACTTCGGTCGACTGCCAGCTGACTGCAGGACTCAGATTGTTTGGGCCAATATGCTGACTCTGTAAACTGCTTAGAGAGGGCTGTAAAGCACTGTGAAGTGATATATAAGTCTAAGTGCTCTTGCTATTGTAATTCAAAGTTTTATAATGTTTTGAAATTTTGGGTGTTTGTTATGGCATAAATGTTGATGAACTACTTAACAATTGCTCTGTAAATGACCACTTTCAAGAAAGTAATTGTTTTTGTAAATGAGTGCTACAATTGATTTTCTTCTGACTTCATTCTTTATACCCTACAACCTCAAATTTGGATTTCTATGAATACACAGTCACACATGAATCACAGGAATTCATGATGGTGTACTAGGGAGCCAAAAATATAGGTATTGGTTGCAAGAATGCTGTGGGCTTCCTGTACATATCTTTGGCCTGATGGCAAATAGGGTAGCTGGACAGTAGACCTTGGTCTTGATACATGGCCACCAGAAATCCCATGTCACCAGCTTTAGTCCCCTACTCATGGACATTTTTTAAGCTAGGCATAATATTTACTTTTGAAATTCAATCATTTGCACTTAAAACTGGCCTCACCATTATAGATGTATGTCTTGGACATTAAACTGGGAGGTTATGGACTGGCCTATGCTTGCCCAGAATTTCTGGGGTTGGCCCTACATAAATTGGCCATTTCACTATAAGTTTTGAAAGCATGCCATCAAAGAGTCGGTGGAGAGAGCCATGGAGATGAACTTGAGGAAACTAAGCAGAAGCAGTTGCTATATATAAGAAAGCATTATTTAAGTCAAAGAATATCAAAAATAGGAGAAGAAACTCAGATTGACTCCTCCCTAATTCAGAATACGATAAGAGGGAGGGAAGAACTCATGCAGCCTTTACCAGGCTTTGTTACTATAATCTATATCAATAAAACATAGTTCCCTAAAGACTTCCATCTCTATCTTGATGTTATTTATACTTGCAGGGTGAAAGGCTCAGTAATTTTATTTACCTATCAAGTATGGTTGAGTGCTCCAAGGGTGAAAAAGGATATTTTTGATGTTGTATTTGAATCACAGTAAACATTTGGAACAAGCCAAGTTAAAATAATGCAGTTGGATTCAGAATTGCAGAGGAAGGAGTAGGATGCCAAAATTGCTTCCAATAGCTGGGGGACAGAGATACCAGAGTTTAATTACTTTTTAAGCTGGGTGTGCTCATCTGCTATGCCATTTCACCAGCTGTTGATAGTAATAAAGCTGTAAGCTATAACAGTTCCTTTATCAGGGCATGGGCCAGTCTGCTGGGCCACTTAGCAAGCCCATCTTTTAGAAAGACACCCATATTAACTGAGCCCAGCAGTCCTAGAACCAGAAAAAGAAAGTCCTTTCAGCATCCTCCATATCAGTCAATCTCTTCCCACATGAAGGGGCCAAATCTACCTCATGAGAATGACAATATCTAGGAAGCACCATTTATTTCTCTTTCTGCCCATAATGTTAGAGTAATCTTTCTGTTATTGGCACAAAGTTTGTTTCTTGATTCCACCCAAGATTGTTTTACTCATAAAATCACTTATCTCTTATATTTATACTCATAAAATTTACTTATCACAAGACAGCCTGTCATATCTTCTTACAAAATAGCTGCAATAAGGAGATTGCCTATCTGCAACATGGTTGCCATGGTAGACCTAAGAAACCACAAAACATAGAAGGAGAGTGGGTGATACTGTTCCTCATAACCTTCCTCATTTCCCAGTTCTTTGTGGTTACCCTTGATATTAAAAGGGGAGACAGACATTCCAAGCAAACATTGGATTAAAGCCATTGGCTTTTGATATTTTTTAGGAAGATGTTTTGGGCAAGTGTTGATTTCAGAAGTATTCCTAAAAGAATATATAGTATGTCTATCTGTCTGTCTATTAAAAGGAATAGAGTTTCTGATAGGAGCCATAACATCGCCCATTGAACGGCTCATTGCTGGAGATACAATCTGAGAAGCCAGAGAAAATGACCCATTTGAAACTATAAAGTTAAAACTGTACAAACCCTTTGAAACTGAACAAATCCTAAAGTTAAAACTGGACAAACCCTCAGAATCCTCTTCCACTTTGCTCCTAGGAACATTTCCAATTTGCCACCTGACATGAATCTTCTTGCCTTTCTTTATTCACAACCATCCTAGTGCATGCATTCGCAAGCAAGCATCACTGTTCTTTAAAAGTAGTAATTGTAATAGCAAGTTAAATTGTTTAAAGAAAATAAATGCATCAGTTTAGAACTGGATTTGTATTGTCATTAAAACCTGCTTAATAATATATATTCACAATGCCATACTGATCTGTCAAAGAGCTCCTAAAATATTTCCAGCATGTAAATTGTCCCACCAGAGGCAAAAATACTTTAGACCACTGCTACACAACAGTAAAAGGTGCTTATAGATCTTTACCACGAGCAGCTGTGGGACACTCTGACCACTGCATGATTCACCTTGTACAGACAAAGACTTAAAACCATTAAACCAACAATTAAATCAGTGAAGACTTGGTCGGATGAGGCAAAGCTGAAACTCCAGGCCTGCCTTGATTGCACTGATTGGAATGTTTTTGAAGATGCCTCTGCAGACCTAGATGAGCTCACAGATACTGTAACATCATATGTTAGCTTCTACGAAGACTTATGTGTACCAACAAGGAACCTGCAAATATATAGTAACAATACACCTTGGTTCACTGATAAACTTAAGCAGCTACGTAATTCCAAAGAGGAAGCCTACAGAAAAGATGACAGAATGCTATACAACCAGGCCAGAAACATTAACAAGAGAGATCAGAGCAGCAAAAAGAAGCTACTCTGAAAAGTTAAAGAATCAGTTCTCAATAAATGAAGCAGCAAACATGTGGAAAACTCTTAAAAACATCACTGGTTTCAGCAAACCTCCTTCCCAGGCAGAAGGAAATCAGCAACTAGCAGATGATCTGAATGTGTTTTACTGCAGGTTTGAAAAGAAACTGCAGCCACCTATCTCCACAACAACAACAGCCAAGCCTTCAACAACTGGCCCCAAGCCATTGGGCTCACAACCTCTGGAGATCACAGAAAAAGAAGTGCAAGATCTATTACACAGACAAAAGCCAGGAAAAGTACCAGGGCCAGACAAAATAACTCCTTCTTGCTTAAAAGTCTGTGCTGACCAATTGGCCCCCATCTTCACCCGAATCTTCCTTCCTGCTTCAAACGTTCTACCATCATCCCAGTGCCAAAGAAGCCCTCCATCAAGGAACTGAATGACTACAGACCAGATGCTCTAATGTCTGTAGTTATGAAAATCTTTGAAAGGCTAGTGCTGTTGCACCTGAAAACCATCATGGATCCGCTGTTAGATCCCATGCAGTTTGCATACCAAGCAAATAGATCGACAGATGATGCTGTTAATATGGCTCTGCATTACACTCTACAACACCTTGAATCTCCAAATACCTACACAAGGGTCCTCTTTGTAGACTTCAGTTAAGCATTCAATACCATCATTCCGGACACTCTTCTAAGTAAATTAAACCAACTAGAGGTACCTGAACACACATGTAAGTGGATCATAAGCTCCCTAACAGACAGGAAGCAGCAGGTGAAGCTAGGCAGAATCACATCTGATACCTGTACAATCAGCACAGGGGCCCCCAAGGCTGTGTGCTTTCTCCACTTCTCTTCTCCCTATATACTAATGACTGCATCTCAAATGATCCATCTGTTAAAATACTGAAGTTTGCTGATGACACAATAGTGATTGGTCTCATTCGAGACAACGAGGAATCTGCATACAGACAGGAGGTTATACAACTTGCCTCGTAGTGTAACTGGAACAATCTGGAACTGAACACACTCAAAACCATAGAAATGGTGGTAGACTTTAGAAGAAACCCTCCCATACTACCACCTCTTACAATACTAGACAACACAGTATCAACAGTAGAGACCTTCAAATTTCTAGGTTCTACTATATCACATGACCTAAAATGGACACCTAACATCAAAAACGTCATCAAAAAAGCACAACAAAGAATGTTCTTTCTGCGCCAACTCAGAAAGCTCAAACTGCCCAAGGAGCTGCTGATACAGTTCTACAGAGGAATTATTGAGTCTATCATCTGCACCTCTATAACTGTCTGGTTTGGTTCTACAACCCAACAAGACAGACACAGACTTCAGAGGATAATTAGGACTGCAGAAAAAACAATTACTACCCACCTGCCTTCAACCGAGGACCTGTATACTGCATGAGTCAAAAAGAGGGCTGTGAAAATATTTACAGACCTCTCACATCCCGGACATAAACTTTCAACTCCTTCCCTCAAAACGACGCTATGGAGCACTGCACACCAGAACAACTAGACACAAGAACAGTTTTTTCCTGAAAGCCATCACTCTGCTAAACAAATAATTCCCTCAACATTGTTCAACTATTTACAAAGTGTACACTACTATTACTGTTAATCTTCTCATCACTCCTTATCACCCATCCCCTCCCACTAGTGATTGTAGGACTGTAACTTTGTTGCTTGTATCCTTATGATTTATATTGACTGTTCCCTAGTATGATTTGATTGTTGATTTTACCCTATGACTATCATTAAGTGTTGTACATTATGATTCTTGACTCTTAACAAATGTATATTTTCTTTATGTATACTGAGAGTATTTACATCAAGACAAATTCCTTGTGTGTCCAATCACACTTGGCCAATAAAGTATTCTATTCTATTCTAACATCTGTTGTGTATTCAAGGGTTTTTTCTACATGAGCTTTTCCCATGGTGCTCTCTGATTGGATTAAATGATAAGTTAAGTGCATCTGCTCTCTGGAATAACCTGCATCCTAATATCTGTAAGGTGTCCATAATGCTAGAGCATTCAGGTGCTTGTTGAATCTCTTCACTCAAGGCTACCTTTTGGCCAAATGGTTCAGTTTCATTGTTCTTCTCCTACAACATTTGGAATTATTTTTAAAAAGACTTTATTATAACAATTCTTTTAATGTGTGGTTGTTAGTACAATTTAATTTAAATCACTTTGAAATGCAGTTGCATAGAAAATCATTTAAAAATAATATAAGCAAATTAAATTATCTTCAGCCACTATGGCTATTGATCACACTATCTGAGGAGGTTGTAGACTACAAAATGGGAATCTGATCTATTAATATCCAAATTAAATCTCCCAGCTTACCCAAAATAATTACTATTTTTTAATTCTTTCATTAGTATAATAGGCAGAGCTCTCTGTCTTCAAAAATTGAAAATAATTAAGTACAAATTATTTTTCTATTCAAAATACAATTCTTCATATGCTTCTAGAAGTTTTGTCATGCCTGCTAGCAAATCCCCTAGAAAATTGAATAGCCGCTACCATCCTAAGAATAAAATGAGTTTTTAAAAAATGATGCTATGAAAAGGAGAAAATCATAAGGGTGTTGAACAATAGGATGGAATTTGCCAGATGTGAACAATTACACAGATAATTTGCTCAAAGTAGAGATAATATAGATTAACATTGTTAAAAGCCTTGGTGCATTTCACCTTTTATATGGTATATTTTTGCGCAGTGTAAGTCTGACTTTTAATTGTATATTTTTAGAATGTTGATTGTGTGCTCTGGGATAATAGTCTATAATTAGAAAGAACATCCATTATGATTCCTCATTTAAAGAAGAAGCAATCATAAGCAATTTAACAAAGGACCCACCATTTTGAGGGAGAAGAAATAGCTCTTCATTGACTTGTATGGTCATCCTTTTCTTATCCAGAGCTTCAGGTTTTCCGTTGCTTGGTTCTTCTACTGTCTTCAAGTTGTAATCTACATAGTTAACTATTTCTGAGGTGGTCACGACAGGCTTTGGGCCATAGATGTGAAGAAAGCCAAGGATTGTCCGGGGTTGTACTGGCTCTGCTGTCTTCTCAACATTAAACTGAAACAAAAAAAGACCTCAGATTTTATTTTTATCACATTCATTTAGAATTTATTATGGCAAAATGTGCTCCTTCGACTGTGAACATACATGAGAGGAATGGCACATTGCTGCTACTATTCGTCATATTTTGGAAATCAAGGAATTTTCCTCTTAAAGAAACACACTAGGGTCTATTTTTAATTAGTCATTCCAGTCCCTACTCCTAATTCTCTTGTAATTCTTTCCTTCTCCTTTTCTCTATACCATGTGGATTAAAAATCATTTAAGCAGAAAATGCAATTGCTTCTATATTTTGTGGTACATACATGCAGGTCCCTAGAGTAAACAACAGGAAAGAGTCACAATCAACTCCCCCACCCCCCACAGCCCTAACAATCATGCTTTATATATAAACCTTGAATTTCTGATATGTAAAGCTTTCCTGAAATGAATGCAGATTCATTCACATTGCATATATTTATGTTCTGAAAATATTTTTGTATGTGTGTGTGTACATAACTAGGAATGGACGAATGGGAAAAATAGGAAGTCTAGATAAATTTAAGTGGTATTTTCTTCCCTCACAAATGTTTCTAGATAAATTCCAAAATGCTGACAATTGCTCTTCTCTTGTGAAAAAGCTAAGCCTACTGACTTCACTACAGCAGCTCTCTTTCAAGCCAATGTAGAGAGAATGAAAGCTTATGCTGAAGTGTAATTAATGTTTTTCATTCTTTTTTTAATTCTTGTCCTGTTAATAATGCATGTAGACCGCATCCCAGAGGAAGCATTCAGTGCAGCCAAGTCCTTTCCTTGCCAATCAGCTTGTCTGAAGGGAACCTCTCTAAATCATAATGCACTGTATTGTAGCATCTTTCGTAGCCACAATCCGCTCCAGATCCTACAGTTCTAAACATAGCCAAGCACAGCCAAGAATAAAGATGATGGAAGATGTAGCCAAATAGCTGTGAAAGGCTGGATAACATTGTGTTCAAAGCAGTATTTTAGTTTATTCCTTGTATGCCATCTGCAAGATCCACAAATTAAGCTCTTGCCCAAATTTAAGTTAAATAATTAAATAATTATTTAAGGAATAATAATTGGCTATTTAGTCCACTAGAAAACTAAGATTATATGGATCCTTCTGTTCTATTTTTCTTTTCATTCTATGCTTCCATCCTATAAGGCCCTACACTGAACTTAAAACACATATAATTTGCTTAAACTGGCTCTTTTAATTGAACTTTATAGTATGTTTATATTTTTTATTGTTAAGACACCCATTGATAGATGTTGAATAAATAAATGGTAATAGTCCTAGTATTATTGCCCATGTTTTAAAACATAGCACAAGGTTGACAGATATTTTAAAAGTAGCATGTTCTTCAAGTCTTAGGATAAAAAAGCCAAAGAGAAGAACATCTTATAATAAATATGAGAGGTCATAATACAGTTAATCACATGAACAAACTGTCTGTCTGTCTGTCTGTCTGTCTGTCTGTCTGTCTGTCTGTCTGTCTATGAAATTATTTAATTTCTCCTTTCTCTGGAGGATAGAGTTTGGACTTCATCCTTGGAGGGAGAAATCAGAAATTTTGATTCCTCACTCTGATCTGTCTTCCAGCCTCTGCAAGCCAGGATTTTTTTCAGAATCTTCCAGAATGTCCAAAGAGGATGAGAGACTATTATTAGGGAGGTGGGGTAGAGAAGAAGCAGTGAATACTGTATGGATGGAAAAGATTGTAATCATTGTCACTTCTTACTGCCCATAATGGGCCCTGATTTGATATTAAGCAATCAAGTCTCCCATTATAGGTAATAAAATAAATGAGAAACCCTTTTCTTTCGGGGGGGGGGGGGGGGTTGGCCCGTTTCTTTCCTTCTACTACAAGTAGCATGAAATTGATTGGACCAGAGCATGTTACCTCAGAAAACAGTATTCTGACAACTGCTCAGAATTTCTCCATCTATAAAACACCATTCGAACAAGATTTTGTACATGAACAAAACTTCACTGCTATGTGTTTCTACTCTAACTTGACTAATGCCCAAATGGATATTTTAGGACATCACAAAGCTTATGTATCTATGTATATTATGGAATATTTTGTCTTACTTAAGTAACAGTGGATTTATAAACATGAGGCACTTTATGGAAGCCATCATGCCAAAGCCAGACACTCTAGTAGCACTCTGTCATCCTGTAACAAGAGTCCATCCCTTTGGGAGCCATATACAACTACAGTGGAGAATGATTGACTGCATTGCATCTGTTCCTGTTTATTGTGCATATGACCTACTCTGTCAGTCATAAAAAAAGTGATCCCCACTCCCTTTGACAGATAGGTTTTGTGTTAAATAAAATTATCTGAAACAAAAATTTGAATAAAAACAATCTGTAAAATACCAAGGCTTTAAATAACACTTTGGACTTTTCTTTCTCCTCTGGCATGAGTAAAATTGGCAATAAATCACTGCTAGGCTGAACAAACACCAGCTGCTGGCTTAGAGTACAAGATGAAATCCTGCTGTAAGGCAGACCCATCACAAATTAAAAATATGCAGATAAAATATACTTAGGTTTTAGATCTAGTCAGACTGCACTTATTAACTATATGTTAATTAACTGCTAGTTTGTTAACTGCATCCCAAACTTGATTGCTTCCACTTGGGTTTAGGATAATACAAGTTTAAGACCAATACATTTGGAAACCATCAGTTTAAGAAAAATTTGTCTCAATTTGTGGCATTTCAAATGCAGGCAGGCAATAATAATGCATGGAAATATTTGTGCCTCCTACTAAACCATGATTACAATTGGCCAAACACACTTAACTGTGGTTTACAAAATACAAACATGCAAGCCCAATTCAAGCAAACCAAACCAAACCATGGAATGGTATTTTCCTCAAAAATATCAGTTATTAATTTAAACATGAGCCTATGTGCTCAACATAATTATAATTTTTAATGGATTAAAACCTATTGCAATCATTATATTGTATGTGCAAAGCAACTGTTATAAATGGATACAAGAGACATGAAAATGCACCTCCCACACAAACAAACTAAATTAAGCTCAGAATTGAAAGGAAGAGGCTTTTCTTCTAAAACATACATTTGGGAAGGAATCATTTTCTTGGCATTTTTTAAAAGTAGAAACAATAATCAGGATTAGGTAGGCAGGCAGGCTGCTCCTTTAATCCTGTAATTATGACACCAATTCACACTAGATATGATCCTTGCTCATTGACTGCATTGGCAGATAGTGAATATGTCTAGAGAAACAGACACTACAGATTAGCATCCAGGGGATAGATTTCCTATCATTTCAATAGAAATCTAACAGTTAGTAGATCGATTCTGGATAGACAGAGTAGTTGTGACTATAACACAGTTTTTAACTTCTCTTGTCCCACGTTTCAATAATGTAATCAGTCCTTTCTCCTGATTTATTGGGCATTAAGCATCTCAAAAGCTATATCATTTAAAGCTAAAATCACAAGGCTTTTATGGAATCTCTGGAGCACAGGAAAAACAGAAAAGAAGGCCTAAAAGAGCTTGTACATAACATGTTCTCTATATTACAGGTAAAATCTGGCATCAGGCTAAATTGCTGAAACCTCATTATATGGAAGGGATAGTTTTTTCCAGTGCTCCTTTTAATAGAAAATCCCCTCCCCCCCCAATACTCCCTGCAAAAAAAGCAGTCTAATGTGTGCTATATATCTTTGGGGGGATTATTGTTTTTCTGCTTGTGCTCTTGTTTTACAATAATGCAAGTCCCATAGAGTAACTTTGGCGATTGAGGTGGCTTATAAATGGAGAAACTAAGCTGTGAATAAATAAATAACCTACCAACCCTAGGCTTAACTTTTCCAAGCAGAGAAGATCTCTTATCTTACAGCAGATGAGATCAAAGCTGTATTATGTCTAGAATGCAATAGGTCTTTTTTTTTAAACATGCAAGAAGTATAGTACAAATTTATTTGGATCCCTTAGTTGCTAGGCAACATGAATCAGATCTACTAATTAGGGCTGCACCCCAAATGATCCCACTTAGTACTTTTTATAGTATTAAACAAATAATTATTTCATGTAAACCACCCCCATCTCCTGCCTCATTACCATTCCAACCCATCAATCCAGTACTATCTATTGTGAGTGATAGTAACTATCCAATTATCCAGACAGTTTTGCTGTTGGAGATCCCTTTTCAATTTATGTTATTGGGAACTAAGCTTGAGTCTCCTATGTCATCAAACTATGCACTTTCCTTTTCAAGACCTCTTTTCCACTTCTTCCCCTGAAGAAGACAATTTCTCTGTCCATCCTGTCCCCCCCTTGAAGCTATTTCAGAAGGGCGAACTAACACATACAGAAACAATAGACTATGGGATCTAATGCAATAGCTAGACTCTTTAAATCTGTGGGATTCTTGTTGGTCTCTGAACTTGGTGGTTTTGTTGCAGACATTTCATTAGCAAACTAGATAACATCATCACTGCACTGATGTTACCTAGTTTGCTAATGAAATATCTGCAAGAAAACCACCAAGCTCACGCAGCACAAGGACCCTATGGTTCAACCTTGAGTTACAAATATTCTCTTTTATCTGTATCTTTCAATCTAGATGTTCTATTGGTACATTATATTTCTTAATATATTGTTATTATATGTATAGATATACATATTGAACCACGAGGATCACAAAATGGCCCTGGTCTCATCACTTTCTTGCAGGCTAACCTAAGCTGCAGAGATGTTTAGGGCTAAAATATTATTGCAAATTTGATTTAGTCAAGTGAGAAATCAGGGGATATAATCTATGGGCCCTTGGTATAGCTCCTTTGAAGTGTGAAGGATGGAAACAAATTGCATTTGGATTAATGTTCTACAGTTGTATAACTTAAATATTATTGGTATGTACCATAATCTTATCCTATGGGGTAAAGATATATGATGAAAAGGACCATTAGATAAGGAAAAGACATGTGAAATGCAGTATGGTTAAGGAGGAATATTACTCCCTTCTAAGAAATGCAATTGATTACTTCAACTACATGCTATACATACAGTATATAGCAAAAAGAGATCATAGCTAAACTACAGATGAGTTCAGAGATTCTGCTGTTCATTAACCTTTTTTCACCTTTGGTAGAAAAGTAAACATTTCCAATTCAGTTTGGAACCAGAGTGACTTAGAGAAGGGATTGATAATCTCCCAGCGCTCTGTATGTATGTGTGGTATGGTATGTGTTGTGTGGTATGTGTATGTGCATGCATGTATTTCATTATGGGTTTCATTTTTGCCTCCAAGAACTCTCTCTGTTTGATATTCTTTTTTCTTCATTCTTTCATGATTTGGATAGGTAAGCATAGTCTTGGAGGAAGGAGTTCTTATGGCCCTTGAAAAAGATTGAATCCTGGACTATGAGCTTCCCATATAGGCTATAAAGCCAGGGGTGATGAAAAATGGCCCCTTTCCCAAAAGACTTCGAAAGCAGAAACACATGGTTGGCTTTTCTGTATCTTTTGTTTTTGCCTTTGAAAATGAATTCACAATGACTAGGAAACAGTCTTAGTCCCTTTTGTCATTTCATGGTTTTTAATATATGGCTTACATTTTTAAAAAGCAGAAGAAGCAGAATATTTGTCACATTAATATCAAACATCTATTTCAAGCAAATGGATATATGTATCTATCTATCTGTTATTTCTATTATCTATAGCTATAATTCTAATGTGAATGAGCATGGTGGCTCACATGGTTAGAATATTGGGCTGACAATATTCCTTGTTCCAATATTCCAAGCAAGCCCTTGTTTGAGACCTGAGTGCTGCTGTGTGATGGGATGAGCTCTTGGCATTTGCTCCAGCTCCTGCCCACTTACCAGTTTGTAAGTATGCAAATGCAAGTAGACAAATAGGTACCACTTTGGTGGGCACATTAATAGGGATATGAAAAGAATCTCCAACCAGGTGTTTCCAGGTGTTTCCAGGATATCACTGGCTAATCCTTTCTACCGGAAGTGTCTTGGTGCTTCCAACATAAATGGGATGGGATTCTAATATGTATGCTCTATGTGTGTGGGGTGTGTGTGTGTGTGTGTGTTAAAGCTCCACATACAACCACATGTAGGTTGCTCATTGATTTAGGTTCAGTTTGGGAAAAATGATAAGGAACAGGAGTGTGAATGCAGCATTTGACTGCAAATCATTAAAGCAGCTGCACCATGCAAATCCTAACATAATTGTACGTGTGCAATTTTTTAAAGAGAAAAAACAGGAACAAATTGTTACATTTGTAAGCAATATTTTAAATTTAGATACTTGAGTTGAGTAGAGTGATCAATTAGTAAATTACTTTTTCTCTCTGCTGCAATAAGATCTTATTTTATTAGTTAAATTATTGATTCTTGATAGCAAGGATCAACATATTCCATTGGTTGAAAAAGAGAAGAAGTGTAGCAGGAGGCTTTCTGGAGTTTTATGGAGTGAAATGGATATCTTAAGCATCTAAAAGGATTAAAATCTGTTCTCAATTTCTCTCCAATGTGAAAAAAATGGTTCAAATTCAGGAGTCCATCAATCTAAGAAGCACTGGGATCCACAAAATAAAAACAAATTAGCCTTCACACACTTTTTGCACATGCAGTAAAGCAGGCACACCCAGCACAATCCCAGAATCAATACTTTTATTTATTTATTCATGTCTTTTAATATAACAAAGAATGGTTTTGAACTTTACTCTTTTTAATGTCTAATTTGAATTTTGCATACATTCTATTTATCTCTTAAAAAAAAAACACCAATGAATAGAGTGATTCACCATTTTCAAGATAAATAGCTAAACTCAGGAATGAATGGATGCATTCATACATAATCCTAACCGAGAATATTTTTAACCATAGTTTATTGAACTAGCTATAATGGGCGGATTTGCACATCATGTAAAAGCAAAAACAAATAATACACATTATGCTTTATCAGAATATATGGGCTCAGAAAACTATTTGACCATATCCATGAATTTGAACCCTCATCCTATACAATTAAAATCTTTGTCTAATTAGTCTTTATCATTCTCACCTATTATTGATATGGTAACATAAATATTCACATCAAGCCAGCATCAAAATGATGATGCTACATGGTGATGTCACAGTGCAAACTCCACTTTTGCTTGTGTAAACTGCGGGATTGTATCATGACACACATCGTCATTTTCCCTCTCCCTCCCTTGTGGACCCTATGTATGATAATTTTCTATATACGCTCTATTGTTCAAATCCTGAAATGATTCAAGAAGATTAACATACTGCATTTCAATATATATTTTGCCATAACATTATATTCTTCACAGCTGTCTTAATATCTTTCATTAGTCCCTCTTTATTGCAAACTAGATGTTATTGTCTGTCTTAAATTTTAACCAACATACATTATTATGCTTGACACTTGCCCAGAATTTAGCACACTAGTTACACACAAGACTTTCTTGCGTTGCAAAAACATATAGACATAGGTGTTTATAGATAAAATCAATGAGAATTATGCAATATTCAGACATTATTACCATTTACCATCCAAGCTTCAGTTTTCTACCAATTATACCCTGTCCAGCTATCAAACCGACAGTGAAGTCACTGTATTTTTGTTATGCCATCTTTCTCTTTCATAAAACAAAAGCTGTCTGGCTGTTGCTTTTGTAATCCCATATGCCACCTGAGCCCCCTTCCCCCCTCCTTTGTATAGAAGTCACGCTACACCCTGAAATTCTGCAAACACAGACAATTGCTATAAATCTTAAATTATCCCATACATTAGGTGTGACCTTGCTCAAAATCTGCACTTGTTACGTGACAGCATCTCTAAAAGAAGAGGAGAACAAAATCAATACACTGCTTTACCTGATGGAGTGCCTGAAGCACGCTAGGTTTGGCATTTTCCGTCTCCAGATCCTGTTCCTTATCTGAGGATCCTTTCCCAGGTCGCTTATATTTGCAGAAGCAGGTAAGACCACATAAGGCAAGGAGGCTAGTAGCAGTCCCCAATGTAGCTCCCAGAGCAATTACTGGGACAGACAAAACCATTATATCAGACTAGGAAGCCACAACTTTTATTCAGCCAGGATGATCTTCATTCCTTGCTTTGCAGAACTGAGCTGATCATAGCTTCTTTCAAAGTGTGCAGTAGATCCTCTCAAGCTGTTGATAGAAAAGAAACTAATGGATCACTCCTGCTCTGTGAGATGATCCCATGCACTCACCATCCCTCCTGATAGTGTTGCTGGCTTCAAGCTTCAAGGGAGCCAAGCAGAAGCAGAGGAAATAGTAATTTAAATGCCTGCAGCCCTTTAAGACTGCAAGCAGACAGCTTTCATTGAACTCATTCTCCAGCTCCACTGGGAAAAGTCTGATGTGCAATAGAATCAGACGTCAGCAAGAAAGGGGATGGGCCATGCTGGCCAACTCACAAAAAAAGTGTTTCCAAATCTATGAATGACCCCTTAAAAGAACAAGCAACAAGCCTGCTTTTAAAAACTGTCAAGGCTACTGTTGCTATCTTCATGTAAAATTACACCACAATGTAAAACCAAAATAACAAAGTTGTTGGATTGACACCTCTATACAGATGGCATTTTTTTTTTTTAGGCTTGACAAACGAGGCCAATATGCATATAAAAATTAGCAATAATGGGATCTCTGCACATTAGGGGCATTTAAATGACATATGTCATTCAACATGACAAATGTAAAATGACACATATTATGTCAAAATTTCTAACTACTCACACAACTTAAGGGGGTCAGTGACTAATGAGGAAAGGCATTTTGGAATAATGATAAACAGTCAATGAAGATGTTCGCACAGTACACATCCACTGTAAAAAAAAACGGCCAGCAACATGTTAGGGATAATAAAAAAAACAGTACTGGAAATAGAGATGCCAACATTATAATGATTAATATAAATCAATGGTGCAACCACTTTTAATTCAATTTCAATGTACTTATTTTTATTCCACCTTTATTATTTGTATTAATAATCCAAGGTGGCAAACATATCTAATACTCCCTCCTCTTATTTTCCCCACAATAACAACTCTGCAAGATGAATTGACCTGGCCCCAAATCATCCAGCTGGCTTTCATTGTTAAGGCAGGACTACAACTTCAGTGTCGAACAGCAGCTCCTCGTCGCGTGCACGTGTGAAGGCCGGAAACTGAAAGAGCAGCTCTCCAGCACACATGTGCATGCTGGGAAGCTGAGCTTCTGGTTTCCGGCAGGGGCATGTGAGCTGGCCAGCTGGTCTTTGCGTGTGCATGCGCACCAGAAACCGGAAGACCAGCTGGCCAGCACACATGCATGTACTGGAAACTGGAAGCTCAGCTTCCCAGAGTGTGCATGCACATCAGGGAGCTGCTCTTCCAATTTCCAGCATTCCCACACACCCAAAGACCAGCTGGCCAGTGCACATCTGCAAACCAGAAATGGAAGAGCAACGAGTGGCATGCCCAGAGAGATGGCTCTGTGTGCCACTTCTGGCATGCGTGCCATAGGTTTGCCATCATGGATGTAGAGGAACTAGAGAAGATTCTAAAGAGGGAAATTAAGAAAATCAAGGAAAGTTTGTGATGTTTGGAACTTTTTAGTCTAGGAAAGAGATGAATGAAAGGGGTGCGATTGACATGTACAAAATTATGGGTGATGTGGATAAAATGACAAGGAGAAGCTATATTCCCATTTCCCCAAATACTAAATCTAAAGGTTGCCCCCTGGAATTGAATTATGGAAGACACAATGCATTATCAAATTTTGGAATATTCTACCACGAGTTGTGTGCTGGCTACCAGCTGGGTTGATTTCAAAAAGAGATGGTCCAATTCATCGAAATCATGGGGATTAGTGGCTATTAGCCTTAAAAACAATATGGTTGCTTATAAAGTCCACCCATTGGGAGTGGGTTTCCTTGTGCAATTGGCTACTGTGACTGCTGGACTGGATAGGGTAGTCATTCAATCCAGCAGGACACTGCTTTTTTCTTAACAGAGGGGAGGGAAAGGGTATGGAATCACAGTTCTTAAACATAAGAGCAAAATACTGATTTAGTGAATGAGATCAGTCTGAACTGAAGCTGTTGTGAACTGTTGTCAAACTGCAACTAGTTTTCCTTCAGGATTCTGCATGTGGGATTGTGGTAGAATTGTCAATAGTAAAGGAGCTGTACTTTTTCCTGGGCTTATTGAGTAATCATGAAGAAGAAATGATGAGTTAAACTTTATCTGTTACTTCACCATTTCTCCAGGATTTCTCAAAGATAATATATGAATATTTTTTTTCTTATATCATCAGCAAACTCTGTCCTTGCTTTAAAGCAGGGGTGTCAAACTCAAGGCCCAGGATACAGTTCCGGCCTGCAGGGTGCTTAGATCTGGCCCGTGGAACTGCCCTGGAAACAGTGAAGGACTGTGGTGCTTCTGCCAGCAAAAATGGAGCCTGGGAGGACCACATGTGGTCCCCCCAAGCCCCGTTTTTGCTGGCAGAGGGTTGCAGGAGGCCATTGCAGCTGAAAATCGAGCTCAGGAGCCATTTTTGCTGGCAGAGTGCTCGGGCCACCATAGGCAGCCCTGACATAAGTGACGTCAAGCTGGCCATGCCCACCCTTACCACACCATCTCGGCCCCCTGAGGTCAAACACTTGATGTGGCCCTAAATGAAATTGAGTTTGACACCCCTGCTTTAAAGGATGAGGTTCAAATTCCTATTTGTCAGCAGCCGCTCAACACTGTTTAAACTGTCCTAGCTTAACCCCATCTCGTGTCAGAAATCCATCAGCCTGATAATGCAGACCAACATTCCAGAAACCAAATATCTCTGTTGATACCATATCTAAAGTCAATCATTCTCCTACTCACATATATTTTTTTCTTATGGTTGTGAATCATCAACTACCATTTCAGTTAATATTCTCTTCTTGCAAATCTCAGCTATATTCTCTCTAACCTTCAGATACCCGGCCTCTGTTCCTGTTCCATAGGACCATTCAACTTCTTCCCAAAGATTTGTAACTTCTTCCAAGGTCTCTCCACAGCTCCTGAATTTTACATTCACTTCTTTTATTCACTAGACTTGGTCCTTTGTTCTGTCAGCTTCTGTTGTAATTCATCCTTTGTTTGCTCTGATGAGTTGTTGGAAGAAATATCCCTCTGGATTCAGTTCCAAGTGGGGAGAAAGACACTGGAAACCTGGAGGGTGTTTGGAAACATGGTTTAATGTTGGACAGGACCATATGGTTTGAGGTCCTGGGCGATTGAGCACATGGATGATAGAGAGAGAGAGATTTATACCCTCTCTTGGGCTTTGAACTTGCTTCCTGTTCCTGTAGAAAGGGCATGTATTCTGATTGGTTGTCAGACTCCCATGGGGCCATGTAGGGTTAACTTTGTAGGGTGTCTTGGTCTGTCAACCAGACTTGGTTGAACCTTGCTGGGTGATGTAATCTTCCCAGGTGCCATGTGGTGAAATGGGTAGAGGGCTAATCCTATTATGTGCTAAGAGTGAAGGTCTTTTGTGTTGTGGATAAGCTGACCCAGCCTTTTGTCTTGTAGATAGGATGGCCCAGTCTTTCTGGGGCTATTAACAAATGTGGGGGCTCTCTCCCAAGAGCATGTTTCTCCTTTTCCCATCCAGGGAGGTATAATATTCTGCCTTTTTAATATTTCTTAGACTATTTCATTCCTCTGGGAGACGGATGGGTGCTAACTTTCTACAGTATTTAAATGTGGCTCCTCCTGTTTCAGTTCTCATTCTTTTCTTCAGGTACTGTTGCAAGGTAATATACTGGAACTGTATTTCAAATACATTTCAAGGAGAAATATAAACTTACCAAACTGAAGTACTTGTCTTCATTTCTGATTCTTAAGGCATTACTACATAGGTTTTTTATTTCTTCTGTCATCCTTTCTTAGGTTAGTCGGTCTCCACTTAGAGAGACAATTTGATAGAAACCTATACTTAAACTTTTCTGCCAAATTCCTCTTCTTTCTATTTAATCAATAGTGTCCTCATTAAAAAATAATTAGAAATAAAGATGAACCAGCTACTTGTACTTTCACTATGTCTCTACAAATAATTTTATCAAGAGTGTCATGGCCTACTTCTCAAACAGAAGAGGAGTTGGTAAGTCTTTTGCCTGGATTTATCATTTCATACTGAAGGTAGAGCATATGTGGTGTCATGCTCCCTCTAATACACATGTGTCATTCATACAACTAGCAAATAAGCTTGTCACATTTTCCTCTGACAATAGTTTTCATTTGTAAAGAGATGGATGGATGGATGGATGGATAGATGGATTGGGAAACCATTGGTTTTATATGAAACCCCACTTGCATTCTGAAGTGGGATTTCATCATTATCATCTTCTTTATAATCATCATCTTTATAATGTACTATTCAATAAGATGCCCAATGAGCAATAATTCAAAATACAGTTATGATATTGGAATAGTAAAGACAACAGGCATTTATAAATATTCACATAATGTAATAACATTACAAAACCAGGACAATGTAGTAAAAAAAACCTAATTTATAGCAATTAAAATAGGAAAACCATTTAAGACAGATGCAGCAGCAAATTGCCAAAAATTGTCAGTAAAACAATTCACTTTAACTTCACTTTAACTTCTAAACAATTCACTTTAACTTCTAAAATTTACATGTTGTCTGATAATTAATGATCAGATTTACAGCACAGCTCAAAATGCATTCAGCTTTTTCTGCACTCTCAGCTGAAATATATATCTTTTTAAACAATTCTTACATATCCCTTCCTGGATATACTGATCATCTGAAGGAGTGACAGTCCATTAAAAGAACGGTGTCAACATGGTCTGACCAGCATTTGAATTTTTCAAGCTTCACACCAATCAAGCATAAACATGCACTGGTACAGACGCTGTTCACCACAAGCACATCAAACATGCACTGAGGACTGTTTAAAAGAAGAACTGGAATTTTTAAACCAAGCTCTTCATTCAAAAGGTTACCCAAGCTGCTTCATGGACAGAATAAGAGGGAAAAGGCTG